TGTTTGGTTGGGCTATTTTACAGTGCAGTCAGTACCTAAAGTATATAGCGTTGAAAGGTAGGATGATTGATGAACATTGACATGGAAAGGATTTGGAAGGATGCAGTTGTTGCCAAAATGAGGTACCATCCTTATATTTTGCTGAATGAACTGAGGAAAACCACAGAAATCCTGTCAGCATAGCCATGGCCTGGCTAATGCTCAGACTGAACACCTCCTGAAGACAAGTCTAGAATGTTGCTGCTATTTTAGATGTCTTGGGTTTTTTAGTTTCAGTAAGGCAGTCTCCCACATGGTGAAATCTCTTTTTTAGATCTTGGTGGTATGATAACAGTGAAGAAAGGTACATTTTTGAGTCACATGCAAGGCAGTTGCATGGTGAACAGCTGGAGGTGGTCCAGTATCGCAGTGTTGTTAGGAGGTTTCAGACGTTTCTGCTGTGATGCAGAAACCAGTTTTCATCACCTTGCACCCAGTTACACCATTTCTCTTGGATAGTTACCATGTTGCCAATTGGTTGTAATAAAATTACTTTATTACATTTAAGCATCCTGTTACATTCCACACTTCTATTTGTATAATATAAACTCCATTGTAAATGTAACATTTTATTGTAGTTCTTATCCCCCTTATTTCACACTACATGTTTTGTCCAATATGTATAAGTATTGACCGTCTTCTAGTGCAGCGAACTGTGTCTGGGTCTAGATGCTGATATGATGTCATATTGTAGGAGGAGAGAACGGTCTCTTCTTATTTTAAGGCTTTTGCAGTGATCATTTTTGTTGTTGACTCTGCTCTTGGATGTTTGTGCTGTGTGGATGTGGACAGTGTTGCCGATATTTCAGAGCTATATACTACTGCCATCTTTATGGTCAAAGTGAGTAGGTTCTTGTTCAAACAGAACTGTGGAGGGAAAGTGTGGGTTCATGCCCATTCTAGTTCATTGGGAGCAGCAGACAGGAAAAAGTTGGTTGTGAAATGGCCCATTTGCAGAACCATAGAGTTCACCAAGAAAACTTCAGCTGTTGGTGTTCCCATGAGGTAGTCCATCCACGTATTCATCAGGCATAATCCTACAGTGGACCAAATGGTGTGAAAAGTGGCAGAGAGATCATTGTGGGGTTGAGGGTAGGTTGAGAAGGGACTGGAAAGAAGAAAAATGGGAAATGGTATTATGGAAGGGTGAGGGGCATCTAAAAAGGGGTTTGTCTGTTCTGACAGTGGCCAAGGAAGCCTCTTCTTATAATACACATGCTTAAATGGCGTTCACAGGCTGGAGGCTGAACTTAAAGTGACTGTCAGTAGGTACTGATGTCCTTAACCAACCCCATAGGTCCTTCCTAGTATGTCTAAACAGTGCCTGGGGAACATATCCTGCCTGCCTCAGCTGATGCTCTACGTTAGCTGTAACATACAGGTTGTACCAGTAAGTTCTGTGACATCTTGGGAACATGGCAGAACTGGTGCAACTTCACGCTCAAAATGTTAGCTCCCAGTTCAGTTGTTGCTGCTTCCTTGGCTATAGAAATGTTCATNTCCTTCCTAGTATGTCTAAACAGTGCCTGGGGAACATATCCTGCCTGCCTCAGCTGATGCTCTACGTTAGCTGTAACATACAGGTTGTACCAGTAAGTTCTGTGACATCTTGGGAACATGGCAGAACTGGTGCAACTTCATGCTCAAAATGTTAGCTCCCAGTTCAGTTGTTGCTACTTCCTTGGCTATAGAAATGTTCATATTAACCTTTAAGTGCCGAAGTGCCCCGTTTGTGCCAGCGTTGAGTAAGTTAATTCCATCCATTTATCATAAAAATTGAGCTAGATACAGCATTTTTAAACACAATGCTTAAAATTAATTAAGCACCTGACAGGAACGGACATTTAAAGGCAGAGTAGCAACGGGCATTTAAATAAACTCCGGCCAGCTCAAGCTTACTACTATTTCAAAGTCCGGCGTTTAAAGGTTAAAATCTGTAGCTTGTATTTTTCAACACTTCTTTGTTAACAGGTCCTCCTCGACCTGGCCCGCCTCCCCAGGGCCCTCACCCGCAAGGACCTCAGCAGAGGCCACCACCTGGAATAGTGAGTACATACCATATTCTGATGAATAAATTATGGATTTTTTTTGTATTGTGATAAAGTTAGTTGTTTTTTTGTTTTCTTCTATTATCGCACACTTTTGTTATGCTGAATGGCATATTCGTCCCAGATTTGTTTGGCAAAGTTTACTGCCTTTAATTTGAATTATGAGTCATAAGTACAGCTGTGGTTGTGGCTCAGACACACATGTCACTGTATGAATAGGTCCTGTTTTAATCTTCTTCATATAACCTTGGTAACATATACCGCAAACATGTTCATTCTCACAATTTTGTATGACTTCTGTTTGACATACATGATGGTTCTATGTGACCGAAACATGTAGCAGACTAAAGGTTGAATTGTAAACATTAAACGTGAGTATACGTTTGTTGTGGTGACAGTTTAACGTAACTACCGTATATGTGTTTGGAACACAAAACAGGATGCATACTATGGAGGTATAAAGAATGGGTTTATAGCTGTTTTTATATGTATTATGTTCACAGCCATTTCAAGGCCCACCTCCTGGTCAAGGACCCCCCAGGGGACCACCACCTGGTAGTATACCTCCAGATCCTCGAGGCCCTCCACCTCGACCAGACTGGAACAGACCACCTGGACCAGGTAAGTTGGTAGTTAATAAATTCTATTTGAACAGAGAAGTTGGCACTTAGTTCATTCCTAGTTCAGCTGATCCAAAACTTTGTTTTATCATCATTAATAAGCTTTATTAAAAAATTAAACAGGTAGTTTTAATACACAGTCCACATTTAAGGGGGTAACATTTTAGTAAAAAGCATCAGTGAATCTGTAGCAAGTGTTTATCTGGTTATGCGGCAAAGTTTTGGATTGGGTGACTAGTATTTGACATGTTACCTTGTTTTTTGTGTTACCTCTAGGCATGCCACACCACCATCCTGGCCCAGGCTTCCCACCCCACAACCAGCCATCGCCTATGCAGGGCCCCCCACCTGGCCAGGGACCCCCACCTAGAGGCCCACCACCTGGACAGATGGGAGGTATGTCTGCATGTCTCCTATGCCAAGGCAAACAGAAGTAACTGTAAATATTAATCTTTTGTCTAATTTGCTACCAAAAGAAGGAAAGAAAGATTGATCTTATGTTCTAACTAGGGATATGTGAGATTTAATTGAGAAAGAATCTAGAGCTTGAATTGAATGATCATTTTTCAGTTTTGAATTGTGGGGTCTGGTGTCAGAAGGGATTGGTTTCCTATTTGCCTGAATGGAAGCTGATTCTTCCCTCCTTATTTTAACAGTTACATAACTGTTGGTCCTCATGGATTTGAATGCTGTGTGTTGAATATTTTAATCCATTTTTAAGCTTTTGGCTGGTAATGCCTAAGTTCACACTATAATATGGCAGTAGCAACAAAGGAAAGAAATGTGTTACAAGATCAAAAATCATGAGCTACCGTATGATTACCCGAAGTATCACTAAAGGTAGGAAATAAGAATAGTAATTCACCAATGTGTGTGACCGAGATTTTATGGTAACATGTGTCCCTTGTCATAAAAATGGCAGAACTTGTGAAAATAAGTCAAAACACACTAACAAACTGTGGTTTTAGTCTGCAAGTGAACTATACCAACCGAGCGACTGGCGCTTGTCGGTGAAGTTAGTGCCAACTTTAGCGGATAGAGGGTGTCGCATGGTCAGCGCAACAGATCCCAGTGCCGTTAATCTCATTTTTCTAGACCAGAGCCAGTATTTCGTTGAAAAAGCTCCTCAGTTATCCTCACAAGGCTAAGTGGACCCCATTCCAGACCCACTACTACTCAGAAAATCTGGTAGTGCCGGGAATTGAACCCAAACCTCTGGATCTGTAACCAGGAACTCAGACCACAGAGGCGGTCCATGTCAAAATAAGTACTAGTGCAAAAGGGATTGAAGTGGCAAGAAGTATAGGGCCCTGCATTTAAGACTGAGATCAGCCTCTAACAGAAATGAGTACCAGGAATTAAATAAATAATTTTCCTGGGGAGTAAAGTGCGGCTGGCGCATAAGGTTGACAACCTTACCGTCATCTTTGAGCCGATTGTCTAGATAATGTGGGGCCCTCAATGTCTCGCAACCCTATGGGCCTTCATGGCCTGTTACAGGGATAGCTTTACTTTTTACTTTAAGTTTATGGTGATGGAATGTGCAGCAGAAGCTGATGGGGATGGTAAGAAAATGCAGTGTCTCCAGAGACAAACATCTGAAGATGGAAACAACAAACAGGAATTTAATGCCAGTTCTGTGCGAATGTCATTGTTTCTACAGATTCAGAGACGGGATAGGACATCAGTTTCTGCAATGTCTTTAAATTCAGTAAGTGGCAGAAATATAAGTCCAACACAGAATGTTGTGTACAAGTGATACAGATGAGTATGCTAGCAGAATGCTAGAAGTTACCATTGCACCCTGAGGCATTTCCAGTGTTATGCCATTCATTTGCACTGATGACATTAGTGCAGAATCTGTTTTCATTAAAATGTCAGGCTGTGGAAAGATGTGAGTGGCTGTAATGTTGCCAGAGTTGTCAGTATGAAACTGCCACTCTGTGTGATATTGAATTGAAAATCAGTGCCCGAGTTGCCTGTGGAACTAATAATCAGGTATGAAGCGCAAGGGATGGATTATCAAATGAACTGATGGGGTCTGGCTACAAGTTGTCTGGGGCAGATCAAGATTGTTGTTGAGAAAATGAAGAGTGCTTATGCTGGATGCATTTGAAGGTCATATAACATTGAATGTCATAACTGAGTGCTGACTTTGGGGTCATGCCTAGAGGAGTGATCTCAGAACTGCAATTCTAATGAATAAGCCATTTAAAGGTAGTTTGAAACAGTGGTATTCCATATGGCTCTTGGCAGGGGAGTATGTTCTGACACCAGCTGGGACGGTAGAGAAGCTCCGTGGTAGAATGGCTGTACCAGTGCTTAAAGTATATCTATTCAGAAGTGGTTGTTAGAGAATTTGAAAAGTAGTAGGTATCAGATGAAATGGCTGGAAGGGAGGAGGAGTAGTAGTAGTAGTAAAAAAAATAGGGAATCCTGTCAGTGAACATGAGAGTGTGTGTAGTGAAGGTGAGACAAGACAATGGAAATCGTGAAGACAAACTAAGACTATAGGAATAGTGAATAGAGCAAGATTAGTGGAGACCAGTGACATCAGGAGGCAAACTTAAGATATTGTGACGTGGATGGCGCAACGGGAAGTAGCGGTCACGTGAACTCTGTGGTATAGTGAGTGATGTCACTTACCCCCACCCCTTCCATTATTACACAACGCTCGGTAAACACTCCGTCGCCTCCTGTGGTCACGTAACAGGGACACCGCAGTTAGTACGCAGCAATAAACAACTCTCGGCAGTGTTCCCCAAGAATGCCTGTACACACAACATTACACAACAGTGGTAGCTGTCGCGTAACTGTTGTCAGTGTGGAAGCTACTAGAGTAGTGAGTATTGAGCCAATGACTAGGGAGAGAGTAACCAGTCAGTTGCAGTCTAGCATTCGCCGGAGTGAATGGAATCAGCAGACGTAATTGTGATACTGCTGAGGCAGTAGTTGTGAAACTGTAAATTTTATAACAGTAAGAGTGAATGGAATAAATTCACCAGATCCAGAACAGCACGAAGTTATTTGTCACATGACATACCCAACACGTTGATTTTGTTTCAGATGTTTATAGTAAGAGTACGAAATTAATTCCTAAATTACTTTTTCTGTGTGTGTTTTCCAGTGTGTTGTTTACTTATATTCAGAATCATTGTCTATTTGAGTAAATATGGAAGTACGCTTCATGAAATGTGAAAAAAGTGACTAGTGTTTTAAATTATTACACTGAAAAGTTGGTCAGCTAGAGAAAATTCTCATTCTTGACAAAATTCTTGGATATTTTTTTTTTCAAATCCTCATTTTGAATTGGAGACATCATTCTTTTGCATGCCCAGCTCTTAACAAATTCATGTATTGTAAGTATTTATTTAAGTGCCGGAGTGTGGTTGAAATTGTTTATCTTTGATGTGCTGTTTTAATAGAGTTCACAGAAGTGCTTAAGATTATGTCTGTGCCATCATAAATTAAATCTGGTTGAATTATGGGGTTCTTTGAAATTTGTATTGCTCAAAGAAAGCTGGATCTCTGCGTGCCATTGTCCAAGACATTAGTTTGAAACGATGCATTGTAAATAGTGAAGAAAATGAATGTGTGGTGGAGATGGATAATAAAAAAATTAGAAGACTAAGTGGTGAGGGATGAAGTGGTAAGGAAAGAGAAAAGATTTAAAATAAATGAAAATGCCACAGTTATATAATTTTTTTTGTTTTTTCCCTACAGTATCATGTGCACACTGAGGCAGTGGATGTTTGCTTTGAGTTACAAACTGTAGAAGGATCCTCAATTAATTGTCATAATAATAGTAATCTGGACTGGACTTGTAGCCAAGTATCACGACAGAAAATATTAATAGCAACCTGCGCAAATGTTTGAACATTTATGGTGTATTACGTTTTCAGTGGAGCTTGGTTTTATGAATAAAACAGTTGCATCATTCATACAGCAGGAGACTTGTAGAGTGTAGCAGAATTTGCCTCACTGCAGGTGACTGGTATATTGTAATTTAAGCTTGATTTGTTTTTGTTTGACACCTTGTTTCAGGTCCAGGAGGTCCACCACCAGGACATGGAGGTCCCCCAGTACATGGAGGTCCACCTCAAGGGCCACCTGCTCCTCATGTGAATCCAGCCTTTTTCCAACAAGGAGGTGGTCCACCACACCAGGGTCCTCCACATCAAGGTCCCCCACCTCCACATGGGCCACCACATGGTTATGGCCCACCTCCTGCATCTCAGGTAAGTGAATTCTTTAACCCTTGGATAGATGTCTCAGTAAATTTGAAATGAAGTGAAGGATTTGGATATCCAGTCTTTTATAATTCTCTGTTTTTCTCCAGTGAACGTCTGTATTGTTTGAAACAGTCTTTATGATGGAAATAGCACAAAAGAAATTAGTTAAAATGACACCATCTTGAATCTTTGATGACTCTTGCCCATCATCACCATCATAACAGCATTTAGCTTGGGTGCCTGAGCAAAAGTATTATTTTTTCAAGGCCACAGTTGTGAGGTGTTATAACTTCATACAAGTTCGTTCATGACAGTTATGGGGTGAAATGAGATGGATAGGTAGAAAATAATTAAAAATATTTAACAGTAATATACCATCATTTTCCTATGATACTCTTATGATATAATTTTATCTTGTATCTTTCTTATAATTTCCATATATCCTTACTGGCTACCAAAACCATCGGATATAGAACATGTCACAATTTACATATATTAGTTCAGAGAACAGAAACTAGTCTCTTACAGCTATATTTATTAAAGGAACCATAATTATACAATTTAATAATTTAGTCAACATGTACAATTCATCAACTAGACATTAATATCTTATTAAGCTCATTTCTTAAAAATATACATACAAATATCAATATACCATATAAACAGCTTTATAAAAAGTTTAGTTCATCTAGTAAATACTCATATAATGTAGAAAATGAATGGAAATACAAGAAATTTTCAGGATCAATTTAAATTGTTTTGTATTATGGGACATATCTTTTATTTAGAGAAATGATTGCAGCACTGCCAGATTCCTGATTAATTTGAGGTAATGAGACAGGATTAAAATTTTGTTAGTTCATGTCAACTTGAACACATTGAAACAGGATTAAAATTGTGAGAGTTCATGTTAACTTGAACACAGTGAAACGGGATTAAAATTGTGTCAGTTCATGTTAACTTGAACACTGTGAAACAGGATTAAAATTGTGAGAGTTCATGTCAACTTGAACACAGTGAAACAGGGTTAAAATTGTGTCAGTTCATGTCAACTTGAACACAGTGAAAGAGGATTAAAATTGTGAGAGTTCATGTTAACTTGAACACAGTGAAACAGGGTTAAAATTGTGTCAGTTCATGTCAACTTGAACACAGTGAAAGAGGATTAAAATTGTGAGAGTTCATGTTGAACCCCTTAAGGACTAATGGCCAAAGTGTGGACACATTAATTTTCATATTTATTATCATTATTAAAGCACCCATCAACAATATTTTTTTAAAATATAAAAGACATTTAAAATATGTTTCTCACTAAAAGTGCCACTTTACAACTTTACGATGTTGTTAAAATCATAAAATGTCATCGAGACACTAGAAGTATAATTTATATACTAAAAGTGATCATCAAATTACTAAAATGTCTCTATTTTTACATATGTTTCTTCTCACTTTACAGAATGTTTCAGCCACACATGGGCCATCATCAGGCAATTTTCCTTTTGTTTTTTGGGGAGACCACTACACTTTTCACTTCCTGACACCATGGGTACATTAGTTGTAAAAGGTTCATAAATGCTAACTTATGTATTTATATTCTTCATGAATGTGAGAAATTAATCATTGTTTTAGCCACAGTATGGAGCACCACCGCCAGAACACCGTCCTGAAGGCCCTCCTCCACTGAGTGAAGCTGAATTTGAAGAGATAATGGGACGGAATCGTACTGTTTCAAGTTCTGCCATTGCACGAGCTGTTTCTGATGCAGCTGCAGGTACATATACGAGTACATATTTCAGTGTGTAACAGAACACTTTATAATTCATTTATGATTTAGAGAAGCATTTTATGAAGGATTCAGGAGTTTTGCAGTGAATTTTCTTGTTATGTCAGGTGATATTTTCAAGTTCAAGATGATGATGAACAATATTAGTTGCGAAGGCATTCAGGAAATAAAATTCTAGAAAAATTGTTAGCAAGTAAATTAATTTGAACCACATTTTATTAGAGAATTAAGTTACAAGATATGATTTTGTGAATTAAGCGTAGGTCCATGCTGTGGTTCAAGCATTTAGTTGGTGGCTTCTCGCCACAGAGCCTCAGGTTCAATCCTGGATGATTTCTTTCAGGATTTGTGGACAGAATGGCACTAGAGCAGATTTTTCTTTGAGTTTACCCATTTGTAGCCATCCACAGAGGCACCAGTAGCCATAAACAGATGGCACATTATCACACACACAGTTATTAAATTTAAGGGCTTCATCTCTGACCCAGTACTTGGCTGGTGACAGATTAATGATTAATTAATGGCCCATGTAAAAGTAGAAGTGAAGGTGGAAAACGAAGCGGTATATAAGTCATGTAAGGAATGTGCAACATGTAAAGTTTGAAATTTGCAAGGTGAATGAATGTGCTAAACTTTTCTTGGGTGAACAGCCAAGTCACTGTTGAACACTGACATGGCAAATTTGCAATATATTTTCCGCTGTTTATGATCATTGTCACAACATGCAAAACTGTATATTCTTACAGGTGAATATGCAAGCGCTATTGAAACATTGGTGACTGCTATATCTCTGATCAAACAGTCAAAAGTTGCAAATGATGATAGATGCAAGATACTGATCAGCTCGCTTCAAGATACATTGCATGGGGTTGAGACAAAAAGCTATGGATCTGCACGTAGAGGCAAGTATTTTGCTGGAAGTTCGACTTGTTTGTATTAAGCTGCACACTGGTGTCATTTAAGGAGTAATGTAAAACAGAGAGGTGAAATTCATGTGAAGTATTACGTGTCATTGTCTGCCTTCTTTTCATCATTTTTGTATTTTAATAATGACTTAATTGTGGTTTTCTGTTGCAGAACGGTCTCGTTCCCGAGAGCGGGAACGCTCACATCGGCGGCGTAGGGAACGATCTCGCAGCAGAGATCGAGAATATCGGGAACGAAGTAGAGAGAGAGATAGGGATAGGGAGAGAGAGAGAGATCGAGACCGTTACTATGCTGATAGTTATCCTAGAGAACGGTCTCGCAGCAGAGAAAGGGAAAGGGAACGGGATTATCGTGAACGTAGCCGTGAAGACAGGTAATTACTTTGTTTAGAATTAATAACCCGTCTGCTTTAGAACCTGTTATCTTCCTCTAAGTGCATGCATTTTGCTTTTGTTATATTGATTGTAACTTAATTGTTTTATAACATTTATATTTCATCCTTAGAGTAACTGCTGAATTTGCAGTCATATTGGTGCTGCCTTAGGTTTATCTGCTTTGTCACTATGCATTTTGTGGCATGCTGAGTTTTTATGATGGTGGTCAGGTTTGTAATAATTGTATTATGTAGTATGCTGGAAAAAAAGTGTAGTATTGTATTATGCATTTACCAGTGAGCCGATCTCTTCGGCTCACAGTAAAGAGGTGCCCTCTTCGAATGATGGCGGCAGCGGCTTGCACTGTTCTCCTCCCACTCTTCTTCATTTGTTTGTTTTTGCTCTGTAATCCGTGGCGTGCTTGCGTCATCCCTGTACCCTATGTCCTTGCCCGTTCGACTGAAGTCGCTCTCTTCCTGCCTGGACGTCGTTGAGTGCAGACGTGTTCTTCCGCAACTAAATTCCCTTTCGGTCAGCGCTGTAATAAATTATTTGGGATGGTTTGGGAGGTAGACTCCAGGCAGGGAGGGCCTTCTCCAGGTAAGCCAGTGTAAGCATTGTAAGTTTTTTTGAAATACTGGAAGGTGGAATTATCATGGTATTGCATTGCTGCCTGTTCCCAGTGTGGAGAAGTATTGCTATTAGCGTGACTGATTTTTGTTTGAATTGAACCTTACGTGTTCCCTTCTGGAAATGTAACGTAATTGTCTGAACTGGTTTTCCAAGTTGAATTACGAGTATGTTCCATGATATGGCTGTCCATGTGTAATCAGAGATATACAAGCCACGTGTGTGGTTTATTGTTTATTCTTTATGCAACTGTAGAAGTAATTGTTCATATTGATTTTCTGAGCAGAGTTTTTAAGTTGTGCCGTAACATGGCTGTCCTGTTGCAATGTAAAAGTAATTATCTGTGCTGATTTTCTAGATTGAGTTTGACAAGCCGTTTCTTGGTAATCTGAGATATTCTAGTTTCCTGTGCTCATTCATTGTTTGCTTTTTTTTTCTGAGTTTTTTCTTATTTAATAAATGTTCTATCAGTTTCTGTTACTTTTGTGGAATTCCTTGTAACTTAGTAGGGAGTTCAAACTTAGACAAGAGTGAATACCCGTCTCCCAAATAGCTGGCGTAAGAAGCACCCCCCCCTGGAGGGTGCACCAGCATACTACAGAATTCTTTTTAAGGGCGGAAAAATTCAGGGAACAAGTCCTCCGGGAGGGACTTAAGCCGTGGGTCCCATGTCATAGCTTTACAGCACGTAAAAGAACCTCATGTCCCAAGGGTACCACTGAGCCAAATTCAGGACATTTCCCGCCCAACAGTAGTCTCTAACGCCTCTGGTAGTAGGGTGAAGCATCGAGATACCGCTGAGCCAGTAGAGGCCGAACTTGCTGGTTGAGTCGGGACTGATGGCATGCACCAGTACTGGTAGGGAATAGAGACTGGTAGAATATCATAGGGGGACGCACAATGGACCAACAGTTGGTCTAAGTGCATGGGGAATCCCACCCTCTCCAATACAATACAATACAATATTGGGCAAAAGGAACCATGTTGAAACCTCCAATGCCACTGAAGATAAACTGGATGAAATTGGAAGGGCCTGAACATTCCTCCTGAAAGTCCCATAGGAGGCAGCTGTTTAAAGTTTTATTTTTCAAGATTGTTCTGTTTTCAAAAGTGGTATCTGGTACATATTTTTCTTGAGTATTATTTTATTTTATTTTATTTTTTTTTGAGATAATGAAACATATGAGTGAATGTCCCAGAATTGTTATGCTATGTATATGCCTCTGAATTTGTACATTCTGCAATCAGCTATGGTAATCTAAGTACGCCCTGTTTACAGAGTCTCTTATTTTTATTTGTAGTTCATGTGATTTCTGCCCTAATCTCATATGTAAAAAGAGGAAAGACATTTAAATGCATTTATCAGTGAATCTGCCTGAAATCATTGGTTTTGCACTGTTTATAAGAAAGCGTCAAAAGTTTGCATTCATGGATTGAAGACCTGTAGTCAATAACAGATCAGACAGCTAGAAGTGTTATGCTGTACGTAGCATGCTGTAATTGCTTCAGCCATGTGCTAGAATAGCTGAGTCAGTAAATTGATTAGCTGTCAGCCATTTGACCAAGGTTTGCTCTTGGCAGGGTCAGTGATTATTTTATTTGCCATTGTGCCCAAACCATTTCTGGGATGCACTTATCCTCCTCTCCAGTTGGAACCATTGATTCTAGAGCATGAACTGGATTATGAGCATCATCTGGTGCCCATGTCAAGAATGCATGGAGCTTATAAACACATAGGTGCATGTGTGGCACCATGTAGATCTTGTATGAACCAGTGTTTTGGAGGAATGTATTGCCTTCATCTTCATGTTAGAAAAATCCGTGAGCAAGTGACTAGCAGTCTGAGCCACCAGTCAAGAACACCCTATACATGGATCACATTGTTAGGGAGGCCATTGAGATTGAGCTCCATCCCAACAACATGAACAGAGAGGCTGGTTTTTGTCTCGGCAAGTTATGGAAGCCTCTCAGCTGCTGCTTCAAGAAACCTCCTGAACGTGATGCCAGATCTACAATGCTGTGCAGGTCAATACATGCTTGGCAGCTGTAGCCCTGAGGTTACTGTGTCAATGCTTGCTTGGTACCCCCACCCCCGACAACTTTTAATACACCTGCTTTGGTCTGCTCTCTGCTACCTGCTCATGTAGCCAGCCTTCTGATCTCTACTGACCCCACCCCTCTCCACTGTCGATTTCCCATGTGGCCCTCCCTCCCTTCCTCTGTTCTTATATAGCTGACTGTTTTCAACTGGTGGCTCAGGTCTGCTAGCCACCTCCTCACACTGGTTCCTCACTTGCAGATTTTTCTGCCATAAAGACGAAGGCAACACATTCCTCTGAAACGCTGGTTCACACAAAATCTAAACGGAGCTACATCCCGGAAGACAGCATTCTTCATGAAAGAACTCATTGTAATCTTATGAAATTTTGTTTCTGACCATATATAAAATGTACATCACAACTTTAAAGCCTCACAGTTATGTCTTGACACACTGTTAACCTTGAAAATTAATCTTAGAAAAGTAGCAGTTGGAATTAATTTGAAACTTGTCACTTGTATCATCCATATACCCGTTTCAAAGTTTGCAAAGAATAATTGTGGAACCACAAGAACTTAGAGGCTGTAATAGGCTGCACCATAGCTCAAGCAGTTAGTTGCTGGCTTCCCACCACAGCGGCCCGGGGTCTGGTCAAGTGGGATTTGTGGTGGACAAAGTGGCACTGGGGCAGGTTTTCTCCAAGTACTTTGGTTTCCCCTGCCAATCTTTATTGTACCAGTTGCTCCACAATCACCCTCACCTATCATCTGGGGCTGGTACAATAGGCCAGAAGTGGCCGCAGTACAAGGGACTTAGTTCCACCCCACTAGCAATAATAAATAATATTAATCGAGGCTATAATGAGTTTTGTGAATAAGTTGCACAATTCTGCAGTTGATTTCGAAAAGTCCCTAACATAACACATTTATAGCTCTGAAGCTTTAAAAGTTGTGAGATGTCTATATATATGGTTGGAAAGAAAATTTTGTAAACTTTACAGTGACCTGTAAATGCACTTTCAAAGGAGTTGTTAAAGAAAACTCTCACAGACCTCTTTTTTACCCCACTGGGGCAATCATTTAATGCCCTATATTTGTAAAAACATATGACAAATATACAAAGAATTAGGCAGAAGTGGTTAGTTATGGGACCAATGTATATTCCAGATTTCATCACAGTCCTAGACTACACGGTTTAATTGGTGTGTGGGCTGTATATGGAAAGAGATGAGTAAACATAGCTTGTTGTGCATTCCATGCTCTTGCTGATACATGCCAGTTTTGTAGTATACATGCAGATGGAAATGGCTTAAATGAAGTTTTATTGTATATGATTGATCTATTACTTAGCACCAGATGTGAAATTGTTACTTTATATGTATGTGACACACTTGTTCAGTACTGGCTTCTGAGCAAATTGCCATAATGAATATAATGTGGTGTCATCGTAATTTTTCAGTCATATCCCAGGTTTCCCAATTATTCATTTCATATTATGTAAATTGCAGTGGGATGAAATGAAAACCCATTTTAATTCAGTTTAAATACTTCAAGAAGCTTCAAGTGGTTGGGTATATTTGATGGTAGGTTTAATTCAAGAAATATTGTCTGAAACAGATTTAAATTTAAATATTTTTAATACATGTATTTACCCAACAGTTTTTTTAATGCAGGTTTATGTTGCATTTGTTAACATTTTGACATTAATTGTTCATGTCTGTGTGGTTTTGTTTTATTTCACTAGAATCTCAGGCTAAATGTAAAGGACTTGACTATATGAAAAATCGTACATGTACGCATTTCTGTTAAAATTTGTGCAAGGTTGTAGAAAAGCAGAAGTGATGTCTTTTAAAGTAAGGAGCATTTTGAGTGGGCAGTACATAAGTTTAAAATTTTTTAACAGTTGCTCTTGTACTTGTGAAGTATGAGACACTCATAATCTCTTGGTTACGTGTGGCATGCTTCATGTCTTACTTGTGTCCCATTGATCCAGTTCCAGTGTCTATTCCAGTTCAACACGGCAGGCTGTTCGCCCCCGGGCCAAATCGCCTGAGCCACCTGATACTGCTGCTGTCATGAGCTCCAAGTCCAGGTATGAACTGTTGTCACTTTCCCACATTTCATTCATTTTCATCTGTTGCACATTTTAGTCCTAAAATTTCCCATCACCACTTTCCTGCATTGTAATTGCATCAAGGCTATACTGTGTTTACACCCATTTTATAATGAGTTCTTTTCCAAAAAAAAAGTGAATTAGTACCAGGTTAATGCAAGTATTATACTATTAAAAGTCAAGTATATTTATAGCTCAGTTGGTATGACAACATGCTATATGCAGGATGGTCATAGTTTGATTCCTGGCAAGGGAAAGAAGTTTTACTCTATATCATAGTATCCAGAGCTGCCTTGGGGCTCACCCAGCTTCCTGTCGCAAGGGTAAAGGGGGCTTTTTCCCCAGGGGAAAGGTGGTGGTGGGCGTGAAGCTGACCGTTCACCTTCATCTAGTGCCCAGGTCAAGAATGGTACAGCTATGCCTTTACTCCCCCATATGTGTGTGGCATGGTGCTTAATTCATTGAGCACAGGGACAGGGAACCCTTCTATACAATCCTGTGAGTGAGGCTTCCTGCAATTTTTCAGGGAACAGATGGAATTGACTTAGGTAGAAGCCATCCTTCTTGTTCATGTTGTCACATGTTAATGACTAGGCAGGATTCAAATTGATAATTGAATGTGTTTGACACTTCTTGCTTTTAACCACTGATAAGTACAACACTTTTGTTACTATTTTTAATCTTCAAATAATTACCGCAGTTTCCAAATCTTTCCAGACTGTTGTGTCTTCATGTGTTCGTTGCTTCACAGTGACCTCTCTTGAATACTTGCATGCTCCTGGACTGCTGTCTGGCTCGTGCTGACCTTCCCGTTGTAGTTCCAGTGTGGACTGATTGTTGCATATTTGTTGCTGCAAAAAGTGCTCAAACTGTTGCGTAGCAGTGGACACGTTTGTGATACTTCTGTGACATCAGTTTCCTGGCATAGATGTTGTGTCACAGTATTCTTGGGATAGGCCTTAGTCTCATTTGCCTGTCTGATGGTGCAATCCATGTATTGCGGTTTTCTGGAGAGGGTGCTGGTGTTATGTAGCTGGATGTTCTGCCCCAAGGTGATACTGTGTTCTGCCATGGCTCAGTTTTCTTGCTTTTCTAGTTTGATGTACTCATGGTGCTTCTTTGTCCTGGTGTTAATCGAATGACCCATCTGTCCAATATAGACCTAACCGCATTCGCAAGACATACTGTATACTCCTTAATACTGCCTTAATGTTGTCCGGGCAGCATCATTCTAATGCAGTTGAAGATCAGCCTGACGTAGGGCAGGAAAGTGATGGAGTCTGGCTTATTGTTGGACAGGGCAACCCTTATGGTAGGATTGAGAGCCTGTGAATCTGTCAGTTGCTGTAGCTCTTCAGCCTCAAAAACTGCTGCTTTTATCATGTAAGCAGTTCTGATCTCACAGAACTTTGGCCCTGTGCACCAAGGTGGAAAGTACAGCATGCTTGTTATATTGGTGGTGGTGGGAGCTGGTGTTTAGGTAGAGGTTGATATTAGTAGGCTTACAGTATGCCTTATGGCCCAGAGAGCCATCAGGTGTCTGCTGTAGATATCTGACTGAGAAAGGATAGTGGCTTACTTTATCTGTCATCATAGTCAATTAAATGTTCTGTTGGATACTGTTAATACTTTTGTCTTCAACAGTGGTTCCCTAGCAACAGCTTTTAACAGTGGAGATTCTTCAGCTTCCTATGCTCATGTTACTGTCTGGTGAATATCTTGTAACTGAACACTTTTCAACTGTCAGCTCAACTATAGCACTCTCTCTCTTCTCAGTTGCCCTTGCAGAGCTCAGCTCGAACTGCCAACCCTCACCTGACAACTGACTGCTCTCAGCTAACTCCTCAGCTGGCCTAAGGGTCCTCACTATGTAGCCTCAGGGTGAACCCAACAGAAAATACCACCTCCAACAGTCCTACTATTGTTGAGGGCAGTTGAAAGTGTTTACCGAGCTGTTGCACAGAAATGGCTGTTTGTTTCTTTTGCCTATTGCATAGCAACAGCTGTACTTGTTTGCTTTGAGGTCTTTACCTAGCAGTGGGTCTGTATGCCACCGTATCCTGGGGTCCAGTGCAGAGAGAGCCCCATGTGTGGGTGAAGTCTCCTGAGTCCTTCACAAGATCTGGAGAGTTGGCAGTATGAGACCCAAGTAGGCCTGCCATTTGTTTGTCCAAATTGTAGGCAGGGACCCCAATGGTGCTCACAGTGAGCCTCAAGCGAACTCCTATCTTATGGAACTTCTGGGGCTTCTGATGATCAACATGCAAGGGGTTCCTCTTAGTTTTTCTTGCTACTTGTTTTATGCTGGTTTCTTATTTGACTTATTCTTCATCCCAGAAGATGGAGATGATATCTTCCCTCAAAATCTCAGTTTACTTTCAATGGCCTATGTAGTATAATTTTTTTGAAGATAGAATCTTCCTGCAACAGATCACACTGCTGATATATAACTGTGAGGATAATTTTAATTGAATGTAGTTGATTTGCTATTAAGTGCTTTTATTGCTGTACTGCACAAGTAACTGGCATTATTTTGTCTACCTGTCTTAGTGCATGTCTCACAGTGTTGTATGGCTTTCATTTTGCAATAAATATCAGCCAGTTTGTTCCCATCAGGTGCCAGAAATTGAATAACACTTTGCACCTGTAGCTCACTGTGTGATTCCACATGAACTGCCATTTTGTAACTGTGGCCCCATGCTTACGTCATAGCACATGCAGATGTGTATTGAGAGAGTGTTACTTCTAAACAGTTGTTTTCATTTGCATTAACCTTGTCTGTAGTGTCCATCAGTATACACAGTATAGGATTACAGAAGCTTTGGTGGGCCAGTCACCATACTGAGGAAGTTTGTTGTAGCAGTAAGGCTTCTCCATTAAATTTGAGTGGTACCCAGTTCAGATGCCTGGACATTGGCTACCCCGACTTATGATATTTGTCATTTTCCTCAGCCCTTCCAAGCAAATGCCAGTTTATTACCTTAAATAGACCATGACTGTATCCTTCACATTCTTCCCAATTCATTATTCTGTATCATCTAGTCATTTAGTATTATCTAGTCTTGTGTTACTGACATCATTAAATAAAAAAAAGAAATGGCTGCCATATTACTGTATTGGTATCGTATGTGTTTTTTTGTTTAAAGGGGTTATTTTGATGTACTGTTGAAAGTGTTTTCCCTGCAGACACTATTATGCATTTGCACAGTGTGCAAGAGGTTAATACTTATAGGACTGGTCATATCTGTGTGTCTGTCTCTCTCATTTCAACTTGAGAACTATTGAATAAATTTTGATGAAATTGGGTATGAACATTATGGCATTGGGGACCACCCTAAACTCAGTGTGAAGTAAGAGCAACAGCAGGGCCACTTACTATACAGTCCTGAGATCGTGTATGGGTAATAGATCTTTTAGAACTATGCAGTTTTTGTTCTGGATTTCTTTTTCATGTGGCGATGGAAGAGTGGGAGCTAATGAACTGTTGGAGTTGAGCATGTGAATCTTGGTGTGGCGATAGGCTACACATTCTGTACTGATATTGTTTTTAAGTTAAGGGTTAAGAACATGAAAGGATCTATTTTCTGGGTTATATCCCAGAAGATATGATTCTTTGTAACCACCAGTGTGATAACTCCAGGTATAATGAAGAACATGGTAACAATTTGAATTTTTGGTGCGATAAATTTAAAAGTTCCTCCCAATAATAAAATAAACAAACGATACTGGTACTTAACCGCTAATGCCATTGCTACCACCACCACCACTAATAATAATAATATGATGATGATGAGTAAAGTTTCAATTTAAATTTGTGTGCCTAATTGGAGTAATGAAATATTTTGTTTTATGAAATCTCAGTGTATAATGCTGAATGTATTGAATAGTTTCACATATTGAAACCAGAGTCAAGTCATCCTGTTTGAGACTGTGCTCTTTCTTAAGCAGTTGGTTTCCAGTAAATGAATCCACAGAGAAGTAACACACAATGTTTAAAATATATATGTTCCTCTCTCTCTCTCTCTTACATAATGATGAGTGTTTTAGATTGTACCCTATGCCATATATAATTAGAATATCAAGTCAAGTAGAATGAGGTGAGTAGGGCATGTGAGATAAGAGGAATACACAGAGGGTTCTGATGGGAAGGTCAAAAGGAAAGAGACCACCTGGAAGCCCTAGGCATAGATGGGAGGATATTAAACTGGATCTTAAAGAAATAAAATGATGTGATATGGATTAGATTGACGTGGCTCTGGATAGGTACCGGGGCAAGCTCTTGTGAACATGATAACAAACCTTCCAATTTCCATAAGGAATTGGGAAATTCATGAGAAGCTGAGCAGCTGTTGGATTTGCAAGAAGGGCTGGTCTCCGTGGAGTTAGTTCTTGTACGTTTTAGTGATAAGATTGGGAATTGTGTTCCATTTTGCTCAACTTCATGTGAATATGCAAAAATGCATGTGGAAACTGTATTATAATACGGATTACACCTCTCTTTATCTTTTTTAATTGTGTCAGGTTTTCTTTACAGTCAGCTGATTTTTGTCACAAACGAGTTTAGGAAATTGTCTCTGTTCTATGTCCTACTGTGTGTGTGAGCTATTTATGTATGATATGTGGTGTGACAATAAAGTTCGTGAACTCATCCTGGTGAAAGTGCTACATACCTCATTGCTGAGTATCACTGTGGTCACCTTCAGTGTACTCCGCTTGGGAAGCTTTGCACCGATGCCACCGCCTAGTCCACCCTTCAAAACAGTTTTAGAACTGGTTTTGTGGAATGGCCTTCAGAGCTGCCATCATATTACTGATGTCATTAGTGTCATCAGAATACTTTCCTTTCAATATATGCTTATCTTTGGGAACAGAAGAAAATCACTGGGGGCTAGATCCAGTGAATAGGGAGGGTGTTCCAGCACAGTTATTTGTTTACTAGGTAAAAACTCCCTCACAGACAGTGCTCTAATTGAAGTTCGACATTTCTTGTGAGGGCATGCCAAAACACACTAAGGCAATAATAGATGCCACTCAGAAGCCATAGATCAACAACAACACAGCTGTGAAATGCTGATAAGCCAATGTCATCAAACCATACTGAGGTTTCTGATCACAGCTGGCACATGGCAAGTTCGCGAACTCTGTTGTCAGACCTTGTATACACCCACAGTATTGGTTCACTAATGGTCATTACGGTAAATGGTACTGAAATTGGGAATTTAGGAAGTAAATAAGTAATTGCATTCAGTTATGCACTTTTCTAATACTTGAAAATATTGACAGATTTACTGGTAATGCAAGTAAATGATACAAATATATTATCTTGTCTGTTACTTGATATTAAGATGCATGCAATTCATATTGTTCTCCTTTCAGGTCCCTGACTGCAACGTAAGTACTATATGCATCGTAACTCTTACATCTTTTGTACAGAGTGAATCAAGAGCCACAGATGTCATACTACTAATTTGTTTAAACAGAGCTGGTAGACTGCTCAAGAGCATACAATTACCATTGCATTGAAATGATAACAGTGTTATCTCATGCAGGTATAATTTTTTGCAGGCTGCCTTTTTGTGTGAAAACCAAATTGGTAGTATGACATTCATAAGTCCTTGATCACTGCATATTGTCTTGACCAGCTTATCAGTCTGCTCTGAAGGAGATGAGGAATTTGAGGATTCGTGATTGGGGAAAATGAGGTAGTGGCGGCTAAGACCATAAATGTGATGAAACATGCTACCAAAATTTCTCCAGTATTTTCTCTGTCATCAGAAATAATAAACGCTCTTGGGCCTTGACATTCCAAAATGTTTTTGTCATTGGCAGCAGATGAGGTAAATATTTTACCTCCATTACTTTTTAATGTTAACACGATATGTTATCCTTCCCATGTCTTAGACATTTCCAAAAATTCTGCAGTTCTGTTCATTTTTCAGCCAAAATTTCAGATATCACTCATCTAAGACGGGAGTAATGTACGTATGTGACTGGCAGGTTGGTGAATACATCATTTACAAAATGGAAAGTCAGAAAGGTACTTGTGAAATATGTCAGAATTGCCACACAAGGAAATATATGTATATGACATGGGAAGTGTTAATATATCATAGCCTTGTTTGTGTACTGAATGCATGATAGAAGATATAGCTGCAAAAGTAGGCAAGTGGAGGTAATTATTTCTTGTAAAGTCAGTGATGAACAGTTGCTTCTATGCTATTTGACTCCAGTTGTACACAGGTTGAAACGCTTTATATTTATACAGATATTATGTTGAACGTTGTTCATTGTCTGTGGTGTATTTCATGTACACAATGTTTTGGAAACTATCCATTTCCATTATCATGTGTACAGGACTGTACTGTGACACAGTAGAGGTGTCTGCACACTTGAGACAATCTGCCCGAACAGTATACAGTGCTTGAGTTTGTGACGTATCATCAAATGAAGAGGACATATTAGTTTTCTGATAGGTGGGAAGATGGAAGAAGGTGATGAGAAGGAAATGTTGGGTGCATTCATACTTCAAGAAATTTAGTTAACCAGACAGTTGTATTGTAGGTAAATGGACTAGAACAGTGAAAGATTCAAACCATTTCACAGAATGACACAAGAGAGTTAAATTTTTAGTAGACCTAGTGCAAGATGAAATAAAGAAAAGGACACAAACTGGAGAAAGAGTGTTGTAGAAAGTTTTAATTATGTAAAGTTGTTTAACTTGTACGTCTTATATATTTTTTTTTAATTTGTAAGTTCAACATAGAAGGATATAGGGACCAGTGGAGGGCTCTTTTGAACACGGTAATGAACCTTTGGGTTCCATGACATGCTGGGAAATTCTTGTGTAGCTGCAGAATTGGCAGCTCCTTCAGAAGGGCTCAGCTTCATGAGTAAGTAAGTAACATAGAAGGATAACAGAAATGCTTTAGATTAATCAGAATCACTATATTCGCCTTAACTTGAAAGACCACCCCTTTCTGTGTGTATGAAATTGGGGTTGTCATGTCTATGCCTAAGAAGAGTACAGTCATTTGTGGTGTGGTGCCATGTGTTGTACTGGACTACATGATATCAGTTCTGAGAAGATAGTACTCTTCATTTAAATGCTTAGTCTCAGTATTGATTACTTGGAGACCAGAGGTTGTTATGCATATTTTGTTTGGTGTCTGAACGTGTGTCTGCAGAGGGGCACTGCTGAATTTTTTAATGTTGAGTTTGGTGACTGGTGAAATAGAAGTTTCTTTCAAACAATTATCAATAAGTCTTAAAATTTCAGTCTTGAATTTCCATTTCTGTTGGAGGTTAATAAGAAATGAACACTCTTTTGAATGAAAGAAATATTTTGAGCTATATAAAAGCCCAGATACTTGCTTGGTTGGGACATTTGGAAAGAATGCGTGAAGAGATAGCAACAAAGAAAATAACTCTGAAGCAATATCATCCAGACCTAAATGATGCCCTAAGAAAAAATGGGAAGATGTTCCACAAGACCTGCAAATCAATAAGATTGTAGCAGGCATATCTGATTACTCTTTTGGTGAAAGAAATTGAAACTGTTAAAGAAATTACAAAAATATTTCTCCCAGTAAACCTGTTGACAGAATTGGACTGAGTTTTGAAAATGTATCAAATAAACCCAGACAGTGGGCAGTATCCGCATAATGTTCGTATGATGAATCAACCATTGTCACTAACATTTAGAGTCTCTGTATATTTAGATAATATCATGGACATATAGTTTGGCGGCCACTATTATGGATGTTCCCTTCTTAAAATTCTATATGTATTTCGTTTGTCTGTTGTCTGTGTGTGTTTTACCCTGTATATCATGTTCATGCATGCTGCCTATGTTATGCAGAGAGTTGTTATTACATATTTTTCTTCACTGTCATTTGTTCTTCAGTCACAGGAAGAGTTCAAGTTCATGAATTAATACTATGGTGATAATTGTGTCTATTTCTGTATGAAACCATCATGGAAAATGAGATGAAAATATTAAAATATATCTTGGAGAAATGGTGTATGAGGATGTTCACTGTATTGAAATGGCTTAGGATAGGGTCCCAAATCAGGCTTTCATGTGACCTTTGGGCTCTGTAAGGAGGAGAACTTTTGTGTAAGTTGATTCCTGAGGGATTTTTTTTGTCTGTAAATATGATTATATATTGTTTTTGTAAAGCCTAATAAGTGCACCACAGAAACCTGCTTTTAAGAGAAAAATTTTTTCTGTTTGGACAGATGCGAGCTCTTTCCAATGGTCTGTCAAGGAGGCTTCTAACATGTAAATTGTATGGTCTGTCAAGGAGGCTTCTAACATGTAAATTGTTCAGTGGGTGCACTGAGGAAATGTGGTTGCGTGCTGTTACGTCTTTTCTCTTTACATTCTTTACTGACGTCTCTTCTAATAGTGAGCATGTTGTAACAGCAGATTACCAGAGTTCATTTTCTCACACGAAATTAAAATATTTATACAAATTAGCTTATACCTGATGGTGGTGAAATTGGAAGTAAACATCATGAGAAGGGCTTAAAACGATACTGTTGTGAGGCAAAATAAAACAGTTATGCAGTTCAGCCTGTGAACCTATGAATTATATTGTTCCTCCTAGAGCTGAATAGCATTGCATGTTCTTCCCTAGCACATATGTTGGATGTTTTTGTGTTGTGCCTGTGCTGGATGGATGAAAATGAATATGACCATGGTATCCTTTGCCATTTGAATGATTATAGGTTTCATCTGCTAGCATTCAGTAATGGGTATGGGTTCCTTAGTGGAATGGTGAGTTTCACATAAGGATTTACCTAGATCGATGGAACATGGGGTCATGGTTATAGGGTGTTTTTGTATGGGTTTGGAAACATAAAAGAATTAACTATCTGTGTTGTGGCAATAGATAGGTAGTAAACAAAGGAATGTTCATTCACTGTGGTAAACAGAGATAAACACACATACTTCACTGTATGTAGCTCTGATGTAAGACATAATTCTGAAAGTAACTTGTTGTGTTCCTGCGTTCAAAAGCTCTTATCTCACAAGGGCATTAGCTTATCAGATCCATCGCACATCATCCAGCCACAATATGGTTGGTTCCTAGACTGGAGCCTCACCTATCGGCCACGACTGATTGGGGCCTTTGTTCCCAGTAGGGGAAAATGCTTCGATATTTGGAGTTGTGTTTTTCTACTGAATATCAGACTGACAGACATAGAGCAAGGATTGTTCTTTGTGTGTGCGTGCGCACCCGCCCGCCTTAAGGAGGTTCCTAAATGTAAAGATGTCACTGGGTACTTTGATGTTTTGTGTACCCTTATATGACTTCGGTAAATCTCCTATGGATAGAACAGTTGCATGGTGTAATAAGTTTCCTGTGTTAAAAGATACGGGACCTGCATTGCAGATTGTTCATGTTCACAGTGTAGTTAAATTTCTCTTGTCTCCAGTGGGTATATACTGACTTCAGTTCTCCTTTTCTTATTTTTATGTAAGGGATAATTCTTGCTAGGTTAATTTCAGGAAGCACATTTTGGAACAGTAAATGTTTCTGTGGAAGACAGCACACTTGCATCAAGAATTTCTTTTAGGGTTTTTTTTTTGTCATTGTGCAGTCTGTAGCTGGTGAGTGATATCTAGTGTTTCTTAATTTTTACTGAATTTTGTATGGGGAAAATGTTTTGGTAAATCAGAATCCATTGCCAAAACAGAATTTTGTAATTGCTCACCATTTTTATTCTCTGTTCTTCATCGCATCTTTCACAGACTTCTGCCTGGCATGGGTGTGTGTTGTCAGTTCTTTCAGTTAGATCTCTGGATCCTGTTATATACTCCTTTCCATAAACTGTACCTACTGCTTCTTGCAGCGTATAACATTTTTCTGTTTCATTTGTAATTTCAAAGAAAATAAACTTTTAGTAAACTATTTTCCATTAACTTTTTGTTTTTCATTTCCCTATTTATTGAAGGTAATTTTACATTAGTTCTCACAATTTTATCTGGGAAAGAACAGATTTTTCAGTCAAGGGAAGTTTTTAACCCAAGTTCTGTTTATGTTAATCATATTCAAGCTTGTTATGTTTATTATTAATCTGAAAATTGGTTGCAGGTACTACTATGATAGGGATCGTGAGCGTGAACGTGAGAGGGATCGAGAACGGGAGACCACTAGACGGGATCCTGAACGGGAGCGGGAGAGGGACAGAGAAAGAGAGCGCAGAGAGGAGAGAGAATCCTCACATCGCAGCTCACGTCACTAATTTCTGTTCTGTTGGCAGATAGTGAAGGTGTTGGAGAAGGTGCAGCAGCATTTTGGTCCCAGTTTATATAATTTGGGGGTGAATCTGAATGTGTAAGTCTTTATTATGATGTGGAAGTATAATTCAGATTTCTTCACATCTGTGTTTGTGGTTTATTCTAGTTTATACCATCATATCTTGTAAATGAGGTGGTACATTCTATATAGGTGTTTTAAAGTAACAGATTTTCAGTAGGAAGTGGCTGTGTAAGTTTATGTAGGATTATGTCATTCCAGGATGTCATACAAATCCAAATGATGTGAAATTTATTTCGAGAATTTTCTGTTAGGCTCTAAGGACATCCTGGCATTTACTTTTACCAAACCATAATTCCCTAAATCCCTTGATGTGTTTTTGTATTTCGTATATTTAGTGAGAAAGGCATTGAGCTGTATTCTGTTGGATGCTCTCCTTCTGCCCCCTGTTTTCATTGAACTTCCCCTAAAGATGATCTTCAGCAGAAATAGTACCAACATAATGTTATATGAACTCTAAAACCAAGTAGCACAACTCATATCTTCAGGGTGACTTTTTCCAAAGTTGGAAGGTTTGCATTGACCCAAAGGAATTTCCATGAGCCTTTTGTTGTAATTTTGTATGCAGAAATGAATGAATGTTGTCTGTTTAGTTTTTGTTTGACCTGATGTTCGCCTAAACTTGTGAAGGCTTATTATGCGCATGACTGAATGATATCGGCTTGAACAAGATGATATTTAAATGTGTTGGTAGAAAGCAAAGACTGGAGAACATTTTCCTTCCCATCTCTTCTCTGTGTGCCATTCTCATCTGATCAAACCATACATAACTTACTGTCTTGGGTAGCACATCGTAATCATTTGTATTCCAGGTGCTCATTAAATCGGCTCAGGATACTTGAATTAAAACTGCCACAGCCAAAGAGATGTCCCGGCCATGCGTAAGGCTGACAACCTTGCTGCCATCTTTGAGGCAATTCTCTAGATAATGTGGGACCCTCAACATCTCACAACCCTATGGGCCTTCATGGCCTGTTACAGGGATAGCTTTACTTTACTTTACAGCCAAAGAGATTGACTCATTAATCAGTATGGGATTTGTTAGTGGATGACAATATTTGTTACAGACCGATGTTAGGTGGAAAGGACAGGCTTTCACATGCTGTATATATGCTATAGTTTGAAAGTCATTTGCGGAAGGTATTGTGGGTTTTTCTCCGCAAATGCATTGAACACCCAAGCAACCTTGGCATTCCTAGTAGGTAGTTCTGTGGTGGGGCTTGGCAGTTAAAAGGTTAAAGAAATAGAAATGCACACCAAATCACAGATATAATGTCATCTTGAAAGCAAGTATAAATAAAATGTAATGGGATTGTTCATCTTGTTTCTGACTGAAACCTTTTTCTAATGAAACGTTTTTAATTCTACGTAGTATTTATTGAAACCTTTATCTAGTATTATATATGGATTTATATACAGAATTTTACAGAGTTTACTCTGTAAATTGTAGTAAGCACTCAGAATGTCAAAATCAGCATGTGATAAAACTATGTCCACTGTTAAAACAACCACTGAAGAGACAAAGCTTAGTAGCCAAGTGATGGAAGATATTCAGACACAAGAATAGATACTGTCACATGTTAGTGACCAGACATTGGGTTTGGATTGGTAATGGGATTTGTTGAATGCTTGTCACTTGTAACTGCAGACATTTTTTACACTGTCGCTAACCTAACACTTTAACAAATCAGTATAGGACATGGTATATCTCCATCTGTTCTAGTTGCTCAGTTACAGTTCCCATACAAAGGGGATTCGTCTGTTCTCAAGCTTGTCTTTGCCTGCTAACTGCACTCTTATAACTAACTGTCTGAGCTGTTGACTCTCAACTAACTGCCGATCCAAGACTTAATGACCATCAACTTAGCTGGTGTCCTTGTTAGCCTTGGCACAGACCACATAGAAAACATCGTTCCTAGGAGTCTCTTCTATTGTTGTGCACATATGTTGCCATGGATATGTGTTTATTGAGTTGTTACTAAGCAGTGGCTGTTCTGTGCATTCATCATATGACATTGCTTCCTCCTTAAGGCTGCTTGTCTTGAATGGTTTATAGGCTTGTCTCAATTTTTTTTTGCCTGTGGGGACAGAACTTCTGGAAGTGGCTGTTACTCCTATAGCTCTGGCACATAAGCTGTTGGTAGTCTCTTTTGTTTGGTAGGGGGCTGGCTCGTACATAATGCCCTGTCACTTATTTTACAGAGCGTGATGGAAGACGTGACTACTAGCTTTACAATCTCAAGCCCTAGGGTCTAAGAGCCTCATTGAGTGTTCTCTTGCCTCACAGAAGTAACTGCTATTTTATGACTTGGTCTATTATGCTGTTGAAAGATACAGAAGGACTGCATGCAATAAGGTGGTGCTCCGCCCCATTGGAAATTGATAATTATGACTACCAAGTTTGGCAGTGAAGGAATTTCTAGTGTGTGTGTGTTGGATGCTACCTGATAGGTACACTTGAGGTTCTGTATGCTGTCACTCTGCATCCTGGTAGAGTCTGCAGGAAGTATGTTTCTGGAATAGTACAATTTCAGAAAGAGTAACAGATAATAATACATTAGCTCTCTTCTTTTTCTCAGGATTACTGACTTCACCCATCATCTGGTATTCTAAAGAGCACAAAATTTGGGAAACTGGAAGTGGTTGCATCCTCATGTGAAAGGGTGGGGGGGACATTCTCTGTTGGGCCCATTAGAATGAGCTAACCTCAGTCACTGGACATTCCATGCCAGTGTACCTTCTGCTATATGTGCACCTGATATTAGGTTTTATGAACAGGAAAATTCACAGTAAAAATTGTGGACATGCATATAAAGGCCTGGAACTAAGGTAGAGAAGGAAATGGAAAATAAATGCATCAAACCAAACAATTCCAGAAACACCAATGGAGAAGAAAAATTAAAGATCTTCATGTTTTGTAATACCTACCCACCACTAGTTGTTTTCTGTTGTGTGGGCGTTGGGCCCTGTAAAGTTGCGTTGCTGTCTGAACAATCTATAGGCATGAATAACAGTAGTGACTAATGATCCAGTGATGGTTATATGTTGAAACTTCTGTATGGTCTGTTTGGGGAGCAGTGAATTTGAACACTGTCGAGAAGAAGCTTAAATGGAAATTTAACACCAATTATTGTTAACTTGAGACTTTTAAATTTTATGGTTTGGTAGCAGTGAATTTAAAGGACACAACAAGAGGTTAATTTGATTTTAATTCAGCAACATAATGCCATATTTCAGGCATGGAAATGAATGGACCAGTTAGTAGAATGTGTTTATAAATAAGCTATGCTGCCTGATTCAGATCATAAACAGTGTAGTTGATCTCTGGAGACCAAAGAGTTGTGCTGCTTGGGGTATATTTGCATTAAAATCCTGTCATATGAAACAGCGTTGGTAGATAGTACCTTGTAGTGTAGAATGCTTCAGAGGAATCTGTTTCAAAGGAAAGGAATTTGTCATCATATCTCAACAAGTATATTTCAACATTGTGAAGATTATCAGGGAAGACTGTAAAAGCAAGAGGATTGGATCCGTCAAGGATTAGAAGAGAAGATTGTATTGAAGATTGTCTGCAGATGAGTTATTTGTAAGTGTAGTACATTTTTTTTTTTTTGGCTAATGTATTCTCATTGTATGTAGCATGTAACCACAGCATTTTATCTTATAATAAGGGAAGGGGTGAACATAGACAAGAATGTTCATGTAGGCTTGAGAGGTGGGAGGTACCCAAAAAAATATTTCATGCAGCCTGTATGTATATATTTGCCACAGCATTCTTGTAGAACACAGATATTTTTAAGATTCAAATCAAAGTGTTTTTCTCTACGTTATACATGCTAACTCATACAATTTACTGAACAAATTGGTTTTCCAGCTGCATTTGTTTGTTTACTCATTTACTGCAGTTATTAGAGAACTAGATGAGTTGCTTCAGAACATTGGTTTTTAACATTGTGGTATTGTGCGTGCCAATTGGTAGTTAGTATGAAGTTGAAGTAACAGTAAACTGGGAGCCCAGAAAGAATGGTTGCAGAGTTTACCATATTATGGCTAAACATATTTCTACAGGTGAAGGCAAAGTTGTGAGATTGTTATTCTGTGCCCAACATAATAAGCAGAAATTGTTGAAATCATGCACTTTACATTTTTGTCTATCCCATAATTACATGATTTACTTGCCATAGACAGCTTTCTGCTTTGGCATAAGTGGTTCAGTCTTAGATAGGAAAAGTGTTAAATTTTCAAAACCTCTGTCACTCCATTTCATTTTGCAGTATGATTCTCTGAATGTTGAAAAAAAATTTGTTTAATCTTATTGTTTTGTCCAACCAGGTTTCATACAGTTTAAAGTTTCACGGGGATGTTGCATACAAATACAGGGTGTTTTACGACTTTAGGGCATAACTGCAGGAGGTGATTTCCTAGGTCTTTGTGATCAAAAAAGTTCATATAAACATGTGTCCGATTTGGATGGTTACGGAGTTATGACCGTTTTAAACTCAAAATAGAAGGTAACGATTGCGGACAATAAACGGAACAAAATAATAAACCAGCATAATACACGATACATTTAAAGTATAAATGTAAAGTTAACTTCTTGAAATTACCACTAATTTGAATTGATTGGTGCTTAAAGCTGATTTTCAAAAATGCCACTGCCAGCCACAACACGGTGCAGCTCGGTTGTGAACTGCGCGGTAGCACGTAGCAGCTTCAGCTGGCTGTTTCTTATGTGGTCAGAGGCGTCCAGAATGCGACCGAGCAAAGCATCTTGCGTTGCCACTTTCACATTGTAAACCAGTTCTTTCATCCATCCCCACACACAGTAATCCAGTGAGCTTAAGTCTGGAGACCTGGCTGGAAATTCTTCGCGTACTCTTATGTGGACTGCAGTGTACCATACGAACAATGCCTTCTTCATTTATGCCTTCATTAACACCACGCTCGGCTGTAATACGAATTCCGGGAAGTCTACCGGTATCTCGCAATGCCTGGTAAACTCTAGTAAACACACTCCGGTTCGGTATTCTATGATTCAGAAACCGTTGCTGATATTCAACTATGGCAAGAACCGATTTACCGTCACAAAACCCGTACACATAAATCGTATCTGCATACTCCTCGAATGAAAATGTAAATGGCATCGTGGATGTAACAGACGCACTGAGATGAGAACTGTTCTGAACACAGTAGCTGCCACTAGCCGTGCCCTTACATACCAACCCACCACACCTTGGGTACCTCTCAAGTGTCAAGATAATGAGAACACTGTCTGTAGCTGGCTAAAAATAGTGACCTGCCGGATGATAGACGCGGTTCACATGAGGGTGTGTACGGGAATGAAAAAAACGGTAATAACTCCATAACTGTCCAAAATCAGACACATGTTTATGTGAACTTTTTTGATCAGAAAGACCTTGGAAATCACCTCCTGCAGTTATGCCCTAAAGTCGTGAAACACCCTGTATGTTGCAGTTGTCTTGGGAATAGAAGTTGCTTCTACATTCTGCTTAAGAATGATTGAATATTTGTCAGTAATGGCTATAATTATGACTAAAGTCAAAATAGTTAATGCAAAATACAAAATCTCAGAATTATTGTGATCTGTGTTATGACACCGTGCAGTCTGTCAGATAGGTCAGTGCTAGTGTTTTGGAGGAACATTTTGTCTCCCTCATGGTAGAATGTGTAGGTCACTTGTTCCTATGAGGCATTTGTACCATCTACCAGATGGACTGCATGGTGTCATAACACAGCAGAGACCAGTACAAGTTCTCACTACTGAAAAACTCTCATGTAAGATGAATATATATTTAAAATTTCCTGAATAGCTTATATATATTTCTTAAGAACAGTTCGGTTCCAAAGGCAGTCATTTTTAATTCTCTCGCTGAGTAGGTCAGTTTTTTTTTTTGCAACTGGTTTCACAATTAATCAACTTATTTGTTTCATAACTTAGTTTTTGTGACAACTGGGATTTGTCTGATCATTCTGGGCTTGTTTTTCTTAAACTTCATATATACAAAAGCATCTTGGACCTCAAATGACAGAATATTCAATACTACAGCACTATAGGTCCAAGTAAACAGAAAATATTTTTTGACACTTGGCCCTTTGTTAAACTACTTGATACCATAGGTTTCCAGTGTGGCTCACCAGTTGATAGGAAAATACCATTTGGCTCCATGTGACAGTAGAAATGGCAGTTCAACATACATATTTGCTATATTATGCTGTGTTTAATGTGACACAAGGTTAATGAAAGTTTGTTTTTCACTTAGTAGAAACATTACTGTATGGCTTATTTGTATTACTGCAAAGTCTGAATTAAAGTGACTTGTCAGAATCTTTCTTCATTATATGGCATCGGAGTGAACGTGTATATTAAAATATTAATATTATAACTTCATTTTGTTGCACAGTAATAGATTACTGTTTACAGTTGGTTGTAGCACATAATTGTCATCAGACAGACTGTGTCTAGAACATCTTTGAGGAATGTGTTATCTTCATATGATGACAGGCTGGTGTGTCATTATTAGAAAGTTACCAGATTCTATTTTCAACATACAGTGGGAACCAAAGTCACCATACTGGCGATCTGCCCATTCAGAGTATGACATGGCCTCAAAGATGTTGAGTACAGAATGTTAATGCCATTGCATGTAGTAGCCGATGAGGACATTTATGGATTTAAGTTACTCTGTTGTACTTTCGTTAACCTTCAAAATTGACCACTTGAATGGGAATTCCTTTGTTGGAATATAATGTTTTCCTTTATAATTGTCTTTGCAACGTATGATTTACTGTCTAATGACACACAATAAATATTGTGCATCAATACTGTGTTCTTTGCTTGTACTGCCACTGTTGTGTTTATTGAAATATGAAGTGTCAGGTGTCATTTCCATGGCATTAGTCTGCAGTCAGTATTAGTTTTCTAATGTATTTACTTACTGGCAGAGTATTTGCATTTCAAGGTAGCTTAATGTAAGGTGGATTCAGTTCTTTTTGGTTGTTCTTGTTCGTGACCTAGCCTATGCTTTTAGCAGTAAGGATGATTTGAAAGTAACAATTTGACTCTTCATGCAAGCAGGATATTACATTCCTATGATTATTAATTTATGGTTCAGTCTGAGGGCTTACAGAATGAAACATTTCTTCACATATTAGTTGTGGATGTAAAAATACAATAAAGCTTTATGTGTGTTATATAAAACATACATGGAAGTATTAGAGATGGTAAAAAGCATTCAATGAATTCATGTTTAAAATGTGACATTGTCTTACATGTTTCATCTTAGCTTGGCAATCTTCAGCAGGCTTTTGAACATTGTATAAGTAGATACTTTACATAGCTTTTGTATTATTTGTGAGTGTAAGAAGTTTACCTAAAATTTTAAGTGAACCTTTTAGACTCATAAATATTTAAAAGCGCTGTGTATTTTCCTGGGATAATGTTTGAAAGCCTCTTGAAGATGGCCAAGCTAGGCCAAAACATATAAGGCAGTGTAATGTTCTAGGCTGATTGGGACTTGAATTTGTTGACTGAGAAATGGATTGATGAATGTCTACCATTAAAGAGAAGAAAAGCACGTTCATAAGGCTGAGGAATGCCCATCATATGCTCTATTAAGTTTGTTTTTGTTCTCACATAAATATGTGTGCATGTTCATGAAAGGTTGAAAGTAACTTTACAGAATCAGAAATTTTTGATATGTCTGTTACTGTCCGATCATCCATCATATCATGTAATGAATTTTAACAGCAGCCATCTTCAACAAATGCAGTGTCATGGAAGTTACGACACATTAATTCACAGAGTGATAATGCAGTAAGTGAAGTGTTCAAAATGGATGTAAGTCTATGGAATCTATATTTTAACCCTTTGATTCGTAAGGGCTTTTATTGTTTGCTGGGCGTTACAAAGTTAGGTTTCATCTAGTTCAACACAATAATTGCATGATTCACATGTTTGCCGGTACTTATGTTACTCCAGTTTTGTCACATTTGCAGCAAATATTGGATGTCAGTTTAATTCATAACTGAACTCCAAAGAATACATACATTATCTAAAATAAATGTTGCAGCCCCATGTGATTAATGCCATAAAATAAAACATAAAAATGTATGTGCATCCTGTCCAGAGTTCATGTACATCCATACTCATCAAAGGGTTAAAGCATGTCATTACATTGCTGTTTCAGTGGTCTGCCTTGATAATCAAATCTTTCATGGCTATATCCTTTTCTGGTCATTTGCAAAGCAGTACTGTTTTCATAGAATATGTTTTCTATATGAAGAGCACAATTTTCTGGGATGTCTCACCGTGTATTCTGGTAGATATTTACTGACATTACAGAGCAGTGTACTGCTCCCAGACAAGCAGCAAGTTACTGAAATTTTGTATGGGATGACGGTAAACTACCAGACTGCATGATGTCACATCCCTCAAAATAGTATTTTTGATAGTCACTGCATGGAGAATCTTACATTTCATGTTTCTTATATATTTGCCATAGTTCTGGCATAGCCTCGTACTTCAGGGAGATTGGAGTCCTTAATTTGATTTTCTTTGAAATACCAAAAGATTGATGTGTATGAAGGATGGTTCTCAGAATATGATACACCATTTAATGCCATTTAGTGTGATATTCTCTCTCTCTACCCAATCCAGTAGAATCCTAATTGGCAGTGCTGGCATTAATAATTGTTTAATCCAGTTGATATGTTGTTGGCTGAAGTCAAACAAGCATACATTGCTCTGTAGTTTGACATTCAACTTAGTCCAAATCAAGAAGTAATCTTATCCTTTCTCTGTGTCACTGAACTTCATTCATTGATTTGAAATTGCATTTATGTTTCGTCCTTCATATTTTACCTTAAAATCACATTATTTTAGGAAAGTGGTGAGAAAATAATGAACAGAGAAAGAGGTAATACTATTATTTTCCCATCTTAAAGACTACAGTTTGAAATTTCTTCCTGTCAAATTATGGTTTAAGCATAGTTGTACCAAGGAGTTGGACAGAGCAGTTTTTTTGGTGCCTGAAGATGTAAGTAGAAATAATCTATCTAATATTCTGGTTATAATAAACTCAGGCATTGTACAAAGCCCAAATTTGTAGTAACTTTTAATTTAGCAGGTATCACCTTCTAAACTAATTCTGTCCATCTGTTTCACTCTGTGTCCCTCTGGCAAGAAAGAAGGTACATGGCCCTGCACTTGGTTTTTTGAAATGTTGAATTGCGAAAATGTTTCATTCAAATGCGATCTGATAGTATACTTGGTGTATTATGAAAAAGAGGCTGGTACTGTAAATTCTTGTTAAACTGAGTGAAGCCTTCT